TTTGTATTTGTGTTGAATGGGCATTTTCGACCAGTGCAGATAGTAATAAAAGTATAGAAATATTTACTCTCACCGTAACGATTGTTATCCTCTTACTTCAAAGACCCCGCAAATCTGGGAAATACCAGAAAACCCCTTTGTAATTACCTTACCGCCACCACTTTCTAGACATAGAAATTTGATGACTATGGAATTATATGTTCCTGTAATTCAAACAACACATCTTTTCCGACAGCAGGAAATAACGTATCTGCAGATGATCCCCTCACCGTAGGAGGTACCATAAAATCTACCTTCCTTGCACCATCGGAGGCAATTTACCTATACCCATTTTTCGGCAGAGGGTCAAATACCGTCCGCCGGAGCCAACTAGCATGTACCCAAAGGTGGATAGTACTGAAGGCTACAATACAGAAAATTTTGGTATTTAAAATGTGAGAGTTTCAATAAATAGATGATTCCAGTGTATTTCAGAACTCCGTTCGCCTAAGCCAAAACATTGACAGATTCCAGGGTTTCTCGACCGTCGGTCGGTAATTCTCAAAAGTCACTGCTACGATGTAGCAAACGTTTTGTTTCATTAATTGTAAATAATAAAGAAATAAGTTACCTTTAAGAGGAGTCGCCAGCAAAAGTAAATATAAAATCCGTTTGACAAGCTGTCAATAGTGTTAACCACCTACTCTGAGTGTCGTATAATCATTAGGATAATTTACAATGTTGCCTGCTGTCGATCCCAGCTTTCCGATTCTGACCAATAAATTTTATTTTATCTAGTCTGTGCTCCGAAGTTTCTGGCAGCCGAATAGATGAATGTACAATGAACAAATAATAACAATAAATAATTAATTCTAATTTTATGCGTTGTTAAACGTAAAAATAAACACAAATAAAAAATAAAAAAATAAAACAAAATAGGTAACACAGATTTGAAAACATTTAATAATTACAAATAAAAAAAAGATTTCATGTTTGCCTTGCTTCTAAACAATTACCAAATAATATTATATGGAAGTAACTTAGAGAGAGACGCGCGTTGTCAACACAGTGGGAGAGAGATAGGCCTCTCTGGGTGGCAAAACATTGACGCGAAACTGCAGAGCACTGTGTGACTGTGTTTCTGGAGGTTTGTTTCGTGCTGTCGCATGGTGTTTGAAGGTGTATTTTTGCAAATTTACGTTTTTTAGGCTCAAGTTACCTTATTTAAACGTCTACAGTCTTCTTAAGTTGTATTTTATTGGACTATTTGTTAAACATCGTGAAATCGTGTTGTGCGTATAATTGAATAGAACGTGCAAAGAAAGCAATCCTGTTTCATTTGATAGGTAATAATTACATACACAGACGAAGGATTTCGTAAATAATTTAAAAAATTTGTTAGATTCTCTAAATATTCCGAGTTACGAAAAAAACAGATTATTGCTACAAAAAGAGGGAATTTTTATCTATTGATTATTGTTTTAGTTATTTGTACGTGGATTTAGAAAATAGATTTTAGTAGAAAACTCCACACAATTTAATATGTTTAATTTAATTAGGCACCCTGTCACTTTTATCGAAAGTTTAATTACTTTTATCACGGCCAACTGTATTAATACATATGGCCATCCCAATTCGTATAAAAAGTTGATTCTTTGACGTTTCCAAAATCGTTAATCAGGCAACGACATCTACTGAGTACAGTTATGAACTTGGTTGGCAAATAATTGTCAAAATGACGTTTTAAAATATCACGTTTTTCTGAAAGTGTAGATAATGGCACAAGAACATTAATGATATTACTCCTACTATTTAGTGTTAAATTAAGATAGATATATTTTTACAAAACGAAAATTATTTAACAAAAAGGAAGGTACATATTCATAATTTTAAAACTTTTCTGCTGGTAGGTTTGTTACAGATCGTTATGCTCTTCAACCAGTCTGTTTGTTCCAAACAAATATTATCAATAACTGGTTTTACTGTTGCTCGAATAATTATATCACTATCACAAACTCTTGATTTATGTTCTAAGCAACAAAATTTTCTTTGTCTTGTTTTATATCATGATCCAAAACCGAGAATTTTGCAGTACTGACAAAGTCTATATTGGAAACATTAGATGATTTGGAACATTTAACAATTCCGCAGCAAAGGATCTGACGCATTGCATATTCTGCAGCTCTGGCATCCGTTGCATCATTGGAGACTCCTTTTGATCTGCAATTCATATATTTTTTTCAAAAATTTAGATGTAATAGTACCTTGTAGTGACAGCATATCATGATTCCAGAACTGGTTTCGTACATTTTTTACAACATGGCAGAAATCAAAACTTAGGAAAAAAGACAAATATTTCAAGATAGGGTGGCCGATACAATTTTTTGGAGGCCCGGTGGTATTAGAAAGTTTTTTAAAAAGCACAACATTTAGATTCAAGTTATCTGTAACGAGTCGCAAAACTATGAATTGCAGAAAGGGCTACCTGTAAAACCATCAGTTCTGCTAGCACCGGTTTTCGTGGTTTCACTCAAGAGACTGCACATGCTTTAAAATTTATTGCCAGAAGTACATATTTGTGTGTTAAGTTTCTGTTAGAACAAGCAGGCTTTTACTATGTTCTTACGCGTTCCTTTAGCTCCGATGCGGTGGAAGCAACGTTCTCACACGTGAGATTAAAAGGAGGCTCCAATGATGCAACGGATGCCAGAGCTGCAGAATATGCAATGCGTCAGATCCTCCGCTGCGGAATTGTTAAATGTTCCAAATCATCTAATGTTTCCAATATAGACTTTGTCAGTACCTACTGCAAAATTCTCGGTTTTGGACCATGATACAAAACAAGACAAAGAAAATTTTGATGTACCTTTGGAATTAAGAACAAAGATTCAAAACCTGAGTAAATTAATTGAACCCTGTGCAAACATTTCATCGGCATCTGTGGCCTTTTTGCCTGGCTTCACTTTAAAGAAATTAGACCACAAATTTCATTGCGATCGCTGCCTTGCACCGCTGTTGTTCAAAGAGGTTCCTGGTCCGCTATTAAGACTCATCCTGTTACAGGATCGAGGTGGATTAACCTATCCCAATGCATATTCCGTAGGCATTGTGCAGGAAGTGGCTGACGTAACTCAAAAAAATGTTGCCCTTTTTAAACTCTAAAAAGACATGTCAACAAATATGTAATCTGCTCCATCCTTCTTTGGACCAAAATCCATTATTTTGTTGCTTGGAACATGAATCCAGAGTATATGATATAATTATTCGAGCAACAGTGAAACCAGTTATTGATAATATTTGTTTGGAACCAAAAGACTGGTCGAAGAAAATAACGATCTGTAACAAACCTACCAGCAGAAAAGTTTTAAGATTATGAATATCTACCTTCCTTTTTGTTAAATAATTTTCATTTTGTAAAAATATATCCATCTTATTTCAAAACTAAATAGTAGGAGTAATATCATTAGTGTTCTTGTGCCATTATCTACACTTTCAAAAAAACGTGATATTTTAAAACGTCATTTTGACAATTATTTGCCAACCAAGTTCATAACTGTACTCAACAGATGTAGTTGCCTGATTAACGATTTTGGAAACGTCAAAAAATCAACTTTTTATACAAATTGGGATGGCCATATATATTAATACAGTTGGCCGTGCTTTTATCCTAAAAATTTCAGAATTACCAATGAACATACACTACATGATTAGTTAACTTGTAGAAGATTATTGTACTAACTGAATTCGTAATATATTGTAGATTCTCTATACATTTCACTTTATTAAAAGACTATCTCCACCAGTTAACATGATTTTTGTTGTTTCACATTACACATAATTTTAATGTAAACTGTAAAAATATAGTTTTTATTAACAGACGTTTGTTATAATTGATTGTAAAGTCCCTAGATTACTAAAGTAACGCGATTCATTAGGCCCGTGTGTTAGACAAAGACAGACACAAATTGAGCCAAAATGGCCGTTTGACAATTGATACTGACGTTTGTGAACAAGTGTGTCAAAGTGTTTGCTCTACAAAAATCAATTAAAATGCCTGGGTGTTGCATCAAATCGTTCTGATCATCTGTTTGAAAAATCTCAAATTACGCATCCGTACATGTCACAATATTATACACAAGATGACAACGTTGTTTTTGAAGTGTAGGCTTCATTTTTCTTTAAAAAATAAGTCTCTGGAGACAAAAAATAAAATCAATAAAACTAGTCGTAGTCTTGGAATGCGAAACCTTGTTGACATGGTCAATTAATTTTTAATTTTGTTTTTAGTTAGTGTATAAATAGAATGATTAAAATTTGAAATCTTGACTTTATTTTAAGATAAAAGTTTAGGCACCCAAAACACGTAGAATACATTCATATTGTTAGACACTCGTAATTTCTCGTAGTCATAACTGATTATACCAGCAATTATTGTCCTCATTTTCAAAGTTGGCGGTTGTTTATTTGAGCCAAAATGGCGCCTATTCGCGTTACTTTAGTAATCTAGGGACTTTAATTGATTGTTTGTGTTAGCGCCATCTATCGGCGGCATAACAGAGAGAGAGAGCGGTGCGCGGTTTAAAGAGTACGAGTACGACCCTTTGACGTTTAACGTGCGCGTGCAATAAGGGACGCGTAGAAAAAGACACGAGGTGAAACCCGCTGGCGCCAGCAGAAGACGCAAGACAACCAACCCGAGTCCCATCCTCTTCTACAAGAAAAACTCATCCACCAGGTAGGATTTTCATCCCTCTTATATTTCTTCATCTCAACTCAAATAAATTGGCTAGTTGCCTCGCTCGCAACATATTGGTCCTTCGAGCCGGATAATTCCTCTGAATACAGTCCACTTCGCAATACATGTTGTTTAAACCATTCATTTCTGGTAGTTTTTGCTCTCTTTATCGTACCCGGCGACAGTCGAAGTTTTTCTTCACTCGAGCATCCTTGTCGCAAACCGCTTTTGTCTCCTCGTTGCTTATTGGTTTGTTTACAATTCGATCGTGTGATTTGTTTACAAAATGCCCACACCCGAAGAAATCCTTACCGAGCTGGAGGGATTACGCATTAAACGTGAATCACTATTTGCTAGAATTCAGAACGTTCTGGATTCTTCTCGAACCCTAACCTCAGAAAATGTTCGCTTGTTTCGACCTCGAATTGATAAATTAGTGGAATTGGAGGCAAGATTTGAGGGAATTCAAGATCAAATAATCGACCGCAATTCGCAAATAAAAATTGCTGCAGATAAATTGGAGGTTCTAAATGTCCAAAAAGCATGTGATAATATCATCTACGAAGTTCGTGGAAAATATATGGATCTGATTCGAAGTATGCCAGCCTCGAGCGATACCAGTTCAGCCCCACACACGTCCACGGCTAGCAAATCCTCTCTACCTAATATTGCCATTCCAAAGTTCAGCGGAAAGATCGAAGATTGGAATAATTTTATTTCTTTGTTTACTTCAATTATTCACAAAAACGCAACGCTTTCATCAGCGGAGAAATTTGTTTATTTGCGATCACTGCTTCATTCCGACGCATTAGCAGTCATTTCGGCGCTCGAAGTCACTCCCGAAAATTACGACCTTGCCTTCGCAGCTCTACAAAATCGTTACCAAAACAAAAGAAGACTCGCCATTCATTATCTTTCCCAAATCAAAAATTTTACTGGTTCATCTTTGAACACCCGCAACGGCCTTCAACACTTTCTCAACATTCACTCAAACTCCATAAACGCTTTGAGAGCTCTGAATATTCCCGATCTTGCTGACTTTCTCTTGTTCCAAATGGTTTCTGAAAACCTTGATACGAATATTCGTAAAGCCTTTGAAGCCAAAATACAGAGTAACAGCATTCCCACGTATAAAGAATTAATCGACTTCGTAACCGAACAATGCAAGACATTTGAAGTTGTCGGCGCTGCTGAAACCTCCAACACGAGCAAATCGCGCTTAAAATCTCTACCATCCAAGCGCCCCAACTCTTTCCTTACTAAAACGAAGGAAAATAATAGCCCTGGAAGCTCTCGAAAGGGACTACCACCTGCACCGACGTGTCCATTATGCCAAAATAGTCATTCACTATCACGTTGTGAAGAATTTCTCGCCCAAGGTATCCAACAAAAATATGATACGATAAAATCTCTCAAACGATGTTTCAACTGCCTGGGTAACCATTTCCTAACCTCTTGTGCTTCTACAAATACGTGTAAACACTGCAATGGCAAACATCACACACTCTTGCATGCAGAGAAGGACAGTACAAAGGAAATTCCACCGAATAGTACTACTGTAACACTATCCTGTCGAACTACGAACAACCTGCTTCCCCATCATGTCTTATTAGGAACAGTACAGCTTTTCATTCAAGATGAAGCTGGAATCTTTTGGCCAATTCGAGCAGTTGTTGATCCTGGATCACAAATCTCCGCGATAACTTTAAGAACAGTGAACAGATTGGGTCTTAGGCGATCGCAAGCAAAAAATATCGAGGTAAGTGGTATATCAGGATCATACACAAAAACACAAGGAATAGTGAACTGCACTTTACGTTCCAAATATTCATCTGAAAGTCTCAAGGTAAATGCTGTGGTGTTAACATCCATCGCCAATAAATTGCCTACGCTTCCTCTACCAACTTCTATTCGTCAAATTTATGGAAATCGACCTTGCCGATTCTTCCTTTGATCAACCTTCAAAAATAGATTTTCTTATCGGTGCAGATATTTACCCACATATTTTATCACCTCATTCACCACATATAATTTCCGGGAATCCTTCTGCGATTCGAACACTTTTTGGTTGGATAATAATGGGAAACACCTCAATAGAACACCCTACTACCTCTTCAGTTTCGTTACTCGTCGTCAACCCTTCACTGGATTCTTTATTACGACAATTCTGGGAGCAAGAAGAAATTGAGATTTCAAAACCTGTTAATCCTGATGACGTATTTTGTGAAGAACACTTTCTTCAAACCCACTCTCGTGATGCTTCTGGCAGATATTCTGTGTCTTTACCCTTCAAAAAAGGATGTACTTCCCTTGGTGTAAATAGACACATTGCCATGAAGAGCTTCTTTAACTTGGAAAAGCGTTTACATAAACAACCCGGAACCGAAGCGCCGTATCAAGCCTTCCTTACTGAATATGAAGATCTACGCCACATGAATGTCATTACAAAGCCATCGTCCTACATTTTGCCTCACCATTGTGTTTTCAAGCAAACGAGTTCTTCCACTAAAATAAGAGTCGTTTTCAATGGATCAGCTCTCGATTCCAAAGGAAGCTCATTAAACGAACGCTTACTACCCGGCCCTAAACTGCAAAATGATTTGTCCGATATTTTGATATCTTTTCGAGTTCACGAAGTTGCCATTTGCGCTGATATCCGCATGATGTACCGGCAAATCATGCTAGTACCTCAAGATCGACAGTTCCAGCATATCTTTTGGAGATCAAAACCCAACCTTCCTGAATCACTGAATTCTCTGCCTGCACAGTATCTTGAAAATCCCATCGTATTTTCGACAGAAGAATCTGCATTTAAAATTCTTGGGCTCATGTGGGAACCAAATTCGGACAATTTCACATACCACACTCATCAATTTCACGGTCCTTCCACGAAAAGAACTATTCTCTCTTACATCTCTCAGATTTTTGATCCTCTCGGCTGGTTGACGCCCGTGGTTTTTTGGGCTAAACATTTCTTACAACAATTATGGCTCTTTCAGTGTGATTGGGACGAACCGCTGAATCCAATTCTCCGACATCAATGGGAGACATTTGTTGCAGAAATCCACCTTCTCCAACAAATCAAGATTCCAAGAAAATTCCCAAATGATTATCAGCAACTCCGATTAATAGGCTTCTGCGATGCTTCCCAAAAGGGGTTCGCCGCGTGTATTTACCTCTGTTTCTTACGTGACAGCTCTAATTACACCATACTTCTCAAAGCAAAGAGCAAAGTTGCACCCCTCACACCGCTAAGCATTCCTCGCCTTGAACTCTCAGGAGCACTGCTGTTAGCGAAGTTATTTGTCTCCGTTCGAAAATCTCTTTCGACTTTCAAGATAGAAGAAACTTTACTATACACTGATGCTCAAATCGTCTTAGCCTGGCTACAAACTATGCCTCATATTTTAAAACCCTTTGTAGCTAATCGAGTAGTTAAAATAATTGAGCTTACCAATCCTGAAAGCTGGTATTACATAAGCTCTAAAGAGAACTGCGCAGACGCCGCTTCCCGGGGAATGACTCCTCAACAATTATCTACTTTTCCTTCTTAGATTTATGGACCAGAATTCTTATCACAACCGCCTAACAAGTGGCCCCGTCAAAGAACATCTATCCCTGATAGCGATATTCCCGAGAAGCGCAAGGGCAAGATTGTTCTTAATGTGCGCACCACTGAAGACGTTCTTTGTAAATTCTCCTCACTTGTTCGACTAGAGTTTTTGCGTATGTACGACGATTTATCAATAATGCTCGATACCATAATCAACGAAAAACTGGAGCCCTTTCTTTGAATGAACTGCGAGAAGCATTAATATCCTGCGTTTTCATCGTTCAGCGACATTACTATGTTGACATCATTGAGAAACTCAAGAATAACATATCTATACCCACAGCTTTATCAAAATTGTCCCCATTCTTGGATACAGCTGGGCTCCTCAGGGTGGGCGGACGTCTACGTCATTCTTATCTTCCATTTGAACAAAAACATCCACTTCTACTTCCCAAACAGTCACATTTGTCTGCTCTTATTTGCGATTTCTATCACCTGTACTCTTTACATTCTGGGCCTTTAACCGTACAAGCTCTTATCTCCCAAAAATTTTGGATAGTTTCCCTGCGTTCTTTATTACGTCAGCGAATACACAGATGTTTAACTTGCCATAGATTCAAGGCAACTCCGGCTCAGCCTATCATGGCAGATCTTCCTGCATATAGAACTCAACTGGTGCGAGCATTTTTACAAGTTGGCACCGATTTCGGCGGACCTTTTCTTGTGAAAGAAAGTAAACGCCGTAGCGCCCGAATCTATAAAGGGTATTTATGCTTATTTGTTTGCATGAGCACCAAAGCCACTCATCTCGAATTTGTCACTGAGCTTTCTACTTCTGCCTTTTTAGCTGCCTTTGATCGATTTGTATCACGACGTGGCCTTCCTCAAACCATTTATTCCGATTGCGGACGAAACTATATTGGAGCAGCAAACCATTTAAAGGAAATAACCAGATTTTTACATGAACATAAGGATCAAATTTTTTCCTCCTTGTCGGCCAAACAAATAAACTGGAATTTCAACCCTCCCACTGCATCCAACTTCGGCGGAATTTGGGAGGCTGGAATAAAATCCGCTAAAAACCTCCTGAAGCGACTTATCAAAGATACAGCACACACCTTCGAGGAATATACAACTTTATTCGCTCGTATAGAAGCCACATTGAACAGCCGACCATTATGTTCAGTTTCTTTCGACCCCATGGAAAACATTGATTATTTGAGTCCTGGACATTTCCTTATAGGATCACCGCTACTTTCTCCTCCCGAACCCGATATACCAGGAAACATAACTTTTAAATGCCGTTGGCAGCGCCTTCGTCAACTTTTCCAACAGTTTTGGCGTCGTTGGACGCAAGAATACCTACATACACAAACTCAAAGGCGCAAATGGCACCGTAGTGCACCTAACATTCAAGAAGGTGACGTCGTCTTCATGTGTGGAATCAATACTCATCCATTATCATGGCCTATTGGTCGTGTTGAAACAGTCCTGCCTGGACCCGACGGAGTTGTCCGGGTCGTGAGAGTTAGGACTGCTTCAGGACAATATATTCGTCCCGTTAACAAACTCGTGACTTTACCCCCTCAGTAAAGTCTCCCCCTTTTTCTTTTTCTCCTTTATTTTTTCCCCTTTCTTTTCAGAATTCTCCTTTATTTTCTTTTTGAGTAGTTATTATCTTTGGGATCTATTATCAATTCTTTATGTACTTGGTTATCATTCAACCGTCCCTAGAATTTATTCTCATTTTCCTAAAATTTTCCCCGAAAATTTGGTGGGCGGTTATGTTAGCGCCATCTATCGGCGGCATAACAGAGAGAGAGAGCGGTGCGCGGTTTAAAGAGTACGAGTACGATCCTTTGACGTTTAACGTGCGCGTGCAATAAGGGACGCGTAGAAAAAGACACGAGGTGAAACCCGCTGGCGCCAGCAGAAGACGCAAGACAACCAACCCGAGTCTCATCCTCTTCTCCAAGAAAAACTCATCCACCAGGTAGGATTTTCATCCCTCTTATATTTCTTCATCTCAACTCAAATAAATTGGCTAGTTGCCTCGCTCGCAACAGTTTGTTTGAACAAATTCGTAAGAAAACATATTAATTCCTGTTCAAATGAAGCGTTTCTTGCCACCCAGCACGTGATACGTGGTCAGCCGTCCTTTCCCCACTGATGCATAACCGCTCTAGCTATTTCTTTCTTATGTTGATTACACTCGGTCGCGTATGGAAACGTATACAAGGCTCCATCCACTCCTTTATTAGATCAATGGTTGGAACGCGCCAACGCCTATGTGACGCCACACTTTTTGCATGCATTTATTGAAGGTGGAGTCACAGACTACACAGACAAGCCATTGCCCCACCACTGACAAACGAATATAGTCTTTAATTCAAGAGTCCAAACAGTCGATTTCAATTATTTTGCCCTTGAACACAGGAAAATGACGGTTTAGGTAAGGATGACCTTGATTCCGCTTAAAAATTTGCAAAATACTGTAGTGGCTATCCTGTTTAGTGGAAACTTTTAGGAGAATGTAACTAGAAAAACTAGAATTTTGACACTTCGGGTCAGAGATATTGAATATAAGTACATATATACATTTAAACCTCCTTGCTTTGGGTTGACAACATAACCACATATAACCTCAAAATGGGTCCGACCAAGACGTGTGAAGTGCAACGCACTCCTGTGAGTCCTGCGGCGACAGAATACACAATACAATACAATATAATCATTCACTCACTTTTAAAAAATGTATAAATTTAATTAATAGCACTCATAAATTTTTTAGCTTGTTCATTTTTTTTTTTTGACTATGAACGTACGTACGAACGCCTTTATTGTTTTAGTAAGTTAAACATAATATGACTTCTGCTGATGTATTTTTTTAACATTATGTTGGCTTTTATCCGAGATTGTGTTGTAAAGTGGCAGTCCTCGCGTTTAAAAATCGCGCGTATGAAGTGACGGTTGAGGTAAGTCGTCAATAAGGGTCACGTTCGCTCAAAGTGGGTATGTGGCTTGTCTGTGTAGTCTGTGGTGGAGTATTGGTGCAACAATGCCTCTGATATCGTACCTGCGCTGCATACGATCACCGGATCCTTTTTCTCTGGTACATTATCGCAATTGACATTTAAGTGGGATCGTGGCCATTGATCTTCAGCGAGTTTTAGAAATTCTGGTCCGCTGAACCAGATTGGATTTTGAATGATTTCTGATGGGTATGCGGCTCTACTTAGGATATCTGCCGCCAGTGGCGGCTCGTCAGGGGGGGCCAGTTAGGCCAGGCCGAGTCTGTCACCGAACTTGTCAATTTGCGATATTCATTTTTATTTTAAACGCAAGAATATAATTTAAAGCTATTTTGAAATCACCTGATTTTACTGTTGTTATTATTTTTTTAATTACAAAAAGCGTTATCTAATTTATTCACTTTCGTTCGGAAGTACAAATCGTGCCGGGAAGTTTGAATATTTTTACTGCGAGGAGCAGCAGCTGAGGCCGGCCGACTACAAGAATAAACGTCGAATAATGTCATATCTGCTATCGCTCTCTGTTTAGCGGAATTAAAGAGAAATAGCTATAAAGACTGATACGTGTCTGATACCCTCTGATTAACGCGCCTGCAGCAGTGATTGGTCAAATGTCTGCTAAAATCGGCCGGCCTTTTGGCAGTACATCAAGTTGTTATAGCGCTATCACCTTCTGTTTGTATAAGTTAGAATGCAATAGCGACGAAACCGTACAATATTCCGTTTCATCACTCCACTTCTGCCGTGCACTTTTCCATGCGGTTCCCCACTACCAGCACCGGCCGGCCGCTGTCTGTATATTGTGAATTTCTGCAGTCTTCACGTGGATGAAATTGGTTTAGGTTTGTTTCTAATTTCAGTAACAATGACAACAATTAGTAAGAGAATTAGTAACTGATTTAAATTTTGATGCTGTTACACATCTATTAAATAATGACTTTCGACTTTTAACATACGATGATCAATTCCTGGGATATAAAAGAAATGACCCGTTCGGAGCCGCGCATGCAACATTTAATCGAAGCACGGAGCAATAATAACGTCAGCTCCGGTGCAATAGCATATTAATAATTAATAATTAATACAGCATGGTATGAAAATTATAAATGGCTGACGGGGAGCAAGTCAAAAAACAAACTATTTTGTTGATATTGTTTAATTTTTTAATATGATGTTGACAATAAATTCAAAAAAACTTCAGAAAAAGAGTTTTGCCTCTGGTCGTCTGGTATGATTGACATATTGAGTTACCGTGGTCTTTTGCCATCTTCCTAATTTCTCAACCCTGCTCCTGATGATGCTACTTACGAAAATGTAGAAGCCTCCGAAATTATTTCTGTCTTTAATTTTAATCATATACCTACCATCCACATCAGCATATGTTGAACGCAGTTTTTCAGCTTTAAAGCGAATTACAAATTTTACTAGAAACTCCATTAGTCAAAATCGATTATCCAAATTATTCGTTTTAGCAATAGAAAAAGAAGTGCTTACAAACTTAACGGAAGATCAAAAGTTCTATAATCAAGTAATTGACCACTTTGCCAATACAAAACAAAGACGCATTGAATTGGTTTATAAAAATTTCTAATTTACTTTTTCGATTTTGTTTTTTACTAATAAATAGTTGTTGACGTTTCATGTTATATTTTTTGTTAGAATGTGTTACTTTATAACTTGAATGTTATTTTCATTTTTATTTGAGTTTATTGTCGTTATTTTATTATTATAGATGGCTTATATTGTATAAGTATATGCTTTACTTTATACCTATTTGAAGAATATTTTTTATTTTGTTTTACCAAGTTGTTAGGACTATATGAATTAACACCATACAGGTAGCAAATTATAGATAATGACTAACTTGAGGTCCCTGGTTCTTGTATTCTATGTCTTAAAACTTTGGGTTACTCACTGCTGGCCGACCCAACCAAAATAGTCACGAGCCGCCACTGTCTGCCGCATTGTTCTCGGAGTTAATATGGCGTCAAGCGGTTGGCTTTGTCAGAGCAGTGATTTCCGAAATGTGATTTCCTACAAAAATGTTTAACGAATTCGCGGGAGTGTGGATCCATGCCAGTACGATGCTCGAGTCAGTCCAGAAGATTTCTCTAATGATTTTGATAGAAATGTTTTGCCGTACTTTCGACATTAGCTGCGCCAGCAGCAACGCTCCGCATAACTCGAGTCGTGATATGGTCATCGTCTTCAAGGGCGCGACGCGCGATCTCGCACACATGAGTTTTATTTCGTACGCACCAAATTCATTCAGCACCCTCAGATCGACGGCTGCTCCATAGCCCTGTTGGGATGCGTCCGAAAAGCCGTGGAATTCCGCGCTTATCACGAGCGAGTTCGATATAGTTTTACGTGGGATTTTTATGTTCTTTAAATTGTGTAATTCGGCCAAAAACGTTGTCCATGCGCTATGTATGGATAATGGCACCGCTTCGTCCCATCCCAATTTTAACGACCATAACTGTTGTAAAATGATCTTATAATAGCCTTCATTACTACCGGGCCGATGAGACTAGTGATGTGAAAAATCGATTCGATTCTTGAATAATCGATTGTATCTCATACTAAAGAATCGATTTTCTGTAGATATTTTAAACTTCGATTAATATTTAAATCGATTATTTTTTACGAGAATCGGCTAAAAAAATCAATACCCGTTTAGAAAAATCTAGTGACTTTAGCCACATTTGCGTGGTACTGGTTACCGTGCTGTGCATTGAATGTTGTTCTGTGTGTGGTTCTTTGGTTTTGCTGTTGCTATGGTTACCTACATCGTGCCTACATCCCACATTTGTAAAATCATCGTATGTGCATGTGAAATACTAAGCGTTTTTTCGCGACATACTACTAATGTAAGATGTAAGTGGTAACTGGTATGTGATGGTAAGTTTCCCACCACTCGAAAAATAGTGGTATGTGCGGCAGCGCCAAAACGCTAGATTTGTTATTCGAGTGGTTACTTCTAAATATTGTGACCACTGACATTTGTGTGCTCACATAAAAATTAGGTTAGAATTACAATAAAAGTCCGTGGGTACCTTTGCAATGGATAATAGGGAGTTACTACCGCTATGTCTCGTGTTATTTGATGAAATATCTAACAACGCATTACCACATGTGGAGGTAATGAAATGGTTGATGGCTAAAGACAAAACTCAACAATTACATTGGTGCATAACGTACAAGGAATCGTACGTAGATGTACTAGTGCGTAATGAAGAGGATAATTTTAACTGGTTGGAATACTATAATGACCACTTGTTTTTCCGCCTTTTTCGTATGCAAAAAGATACATTTCATAAGTTATTTAAAATCATTATACGTAAAGATACATCTGGGCTAATAAAAAAAAAATACAGAGGAGGAAACTTTCCCATCAGTCCAGAAATATCTCTCCTCATATTCCTCTGGTACATTGCTAAGGAAGAGTCATTACAATCAATAGCAATAGTATTTCAAGTGGCTGTAAGCAGTGTTATGAAAATTGTAAACATCGTGCTATACTTTTTGCTCAAAATGAAAAATGACTACATATTTTGGCCACAAACTGAAGAAGAATTTCAACATATTAGGAACGGCTTTAGACAATATCCAAGTAATAAAACATTCAACTTATGTGGTAGCGGTTAAATAAGTAAATATTTTATTACAGACACCCTTGGCGCACTCGATGGTTGTCATGTTAAAGTTAAAGTATCAAGCGACCAACAAGACAGTTACTGTGATAGACACCAAAATTATTCTGTAAATGTAATGGCAATTGCAACAGCAGAGAAAATTTTTAACTATTTATTTGTCGGATTTCCTGGGGCGGCCCACGATTCACGGGTAAATAAGTGCTAACGTATATACAACATAAGACTGTATCAAGCATTCTTTCAGGTGTTTTCTAATTCTCTATTTGTCCAAAAAATACAAAGCTATGGATCTCGCATCTATTTTCCAACAGATGATGATCACATAATAGGAGACAGCGCATTTCCAATTAAAAGCTGGTTAATGGTTCCATATCGAAAAAATCAGAATTTAACAAGAGTACAAAAATGGCATAACTACCGATTAAGCAGCGCACGAATAGCCATTGAAAATGTCTTTGGACTCATCAAAGGGCGTTGGAGACGCCTTTTGTATGTAAATACATATTCAATTAGTAAAGCAGTTGAAATAATAACAGCGGCCTGCGTGTTACATAACTTTTGTTACATGGTCCAAGATGCATGGACAGAGGAAATCATCAATGACTTGTGGGAAGGTGATCAAATTATGAATAATAATGAACAAGAAGCACGCTTAGGCAGAGCTAAGCGAGACCATATTGCCCACATCATTTTTAATGAACGATAATACTACTTCTGCACTTTTTGTTAAAGGAACATACATGTTATAATTATTGCCTTTTATGAATTTTTATTATATAAAACAACATGTAAAAGTTAACAAAAAATAAATAAAATATTCATTTTGAAAAAACCAAACAATTGCTTCAGTGGACGGTATGTAAACATATAAAAAAACATAACTGCCTCTCTTTGGCGTAAAAGTTGACTAACGTGTAATCATTCTCGAAAACCGACCAGTTACTCCAATGGACGGTATCTAAAATGATGCATTTTTAAATTTTATTCCGAATCTGAGGAAGCGTTGTGTTTTCTTTTTTCAGGACGTACATGATGGCGCACTAATGTGCTGAATAAACCTATCATCTCTCGTCGCTGTTCGTTTTGCTCCTGTAAGAGTTTGTTCAACGCCTGGTACTGCTGCCGTCGATCTTCCCGATCTAACGCCTGTTGTTCTGTAAAAGTGGTAATAATTTCTGATGATCGCGATTTTGGTCGCACCGTTCGTTTTGTTTTAGCAAATCTATTGATGACTCGCTCGTTAACATTATTATTATCTTCTTGACTATCTTCAGTGTCGCTTATTTGATGTGATGGTCCTGCGACAGGTTCAGACCCTTCTGAATCTTGGAGACTGGTGGGATACATTTTATGTTTGTTTTCTGTAATAGCTAAATTTAAGGAACACTGGTATATGGTCAAATGAAACATTTCCTTACCTAATATGGCGTGTAGTTCATTAAAATAGGGAGGTTTGCACTTCTTTTCCTCTCCTGTCCGTCTTGTGTGTTGAATATAAGTTGTATACTGCTTTTCCAAATTCACGTATTTTTGTCTACATTTTGCAGCTGGGCCTTCTTTAGTTGGACATATGTCGTATCCTTTTGCCTCTAACTCTTTTGCTATTGCCGCCCACAGTGAATTATTCGTAGATTTTTTATCACGAAATTTCGGATCGTAATTTTTCCTCAGCTCTAACAATGTGGCGGTAGCTGCCTCATCCTCTGCTGTAGGTCGCCCTTTAGAGAACCATACTTTTTTCTTCTCAGGCACACAACACAGTTCTTCAAACGTACTACTATTATTCTCATCAGTACAATTGTCATTTGCTTCAGGAAATGCCATTTCGACATACTTTCGGGCTTGGTCGTGATCTTAAATGGTACGAGTATAGAGGCTAATATATTATAAAGGGCTTTACTTACCATTCAATAAGGTCTCCGCTGTTTCCGCATCTACCGTTAATAAAACATCATTTCCGTTAACATTCACGGAAATATCCACTAATTCCACGTAATTTTCCATGTTGGCAGAGTTTTCCATAATAAATTGGCCCAATTTTTACAAGCGTTTTTAAAAATCAAACACTTTTAACTGGTGAACGATTGACTAATTTTTACCTTAAACCACCATCAACTTCACTAGTTTCCCGCTTTTAAGGTTATAAACATCTTACGTCATTTCACTTACCGCAACATACACCACTCCAGAGTATGGTAAGCTGCAGTATGATTTCTTGACGTTTGTGGCTACGGTTACACCACATTCTCCTCACTTACCGCTTTCTCGCGAATATGAGTTGGTAAATCATACCACATACTATGGTAAGTTGTAGTATGGTCGCGGAAAAACGCTTACTGAAATGCCTAGATTGAAGATTTGGCGGAAGTGGTAAAATCCCCCTTTTTTGTAAGTAAAATTATTAATCCGTGTATTAATCTTGCCAGATTTTTTGTTCGTAGAGTTTAGGTAAACCACGATTTTATATTTTTTCAATATTTTAGATATTAGGATGTCGATGCCAACGTCCAAATCTATTAAACGATATTTTACAAAAATCGATGCAATATCCTCAAGATGTAGATTTTGTCTCAAAATAGTTAAAAATCATAGTAATACTACTAATTTGCTCAGCCACATGAAAAGGAAGCATCCTATGATCCCTTTGAATCAGAAATCGATAATGAATGTAGAATCAAAATCAGAGCAAGAGGAGCCATGTAAAAAAAGACAATGTTTCGAGAAGCCCACATCCCCTATTATTCAATCCGAACCTGGGTGCAGTGGTAGCAGGACAATTGAAAGAAGTTGTGATAATATATCGAATTTATCAGAAGCAACAACTTTAAGCATCTTGGATAGCTCATCATTTTCACATATCAAAGGAAAACAGAAAAAAGTTACTGAAGTGTTTGAAGAAGTATCTTCATATACAGGTTTGTTCAATAATTGAGCAATTTATATTACAAAATTTATTTAAATTTTAGAAGGTGGTAGAAATGCCAGTAAGATTACAAATGCCATTTTGTATATGCTGGCTGTAGATAACATGCCACTGAAAACTGTAGAAAATAAAGGGTTTAAGAAGTTTTTACAAACTACACTTCCACTGTACAAACTACCATGCCGAAAAACTTTCACGAATATGATGGATGAACGGTATGAAGTTATTAGCTCTCAAATTAAAGAAGATTTTAAGAATGTTTTAAATTTCACAATAACAACGGATATATGGACTGATTCTTTCAACACTCGAAGTTTTATGGGAATCACCGTACACTTTTTTAACATGGGTGAATTAAAGTCTGTGAATATTGGTGTGATTATGTTAGAAAAAAGTCACACCGGTGAATATATATGTGAAAAATTAAATGATTTATGTGTGCAGTGGAATATTGACAAGGAAAAAGTAACGGCTATTGTAACGGACAATGGAAGCAATGTTGTGAAGGGGGCATACCTTTGTTTTGGAAAAAAAAAACATCTTCCCTGCTTCGCTCATACACTGAACTTAGTAGTTACAAACGCCTTAAAACTTACAACTCATCTAAGTGATATTATCAATAAGGTTAAAGAGATTGTTGCCTTTTTTAAACATAGCACCAAGGCAACTGAGGAATTGAAGTCTCAACAAATCCAAAATGGGGCGCCAAATAATAAAACGTTGAAGCTAATCCAGCAGTGTGAAACTCGTTGGAATTCAACGTACCTAATGTTGCAGAGATTTTTATTGTTGGCAACTTACATAAGTTCAGTGCTATTTAATTACAAAAATCCAACTATGGTTAATCATGATGAAATTGAAATTTTAGAAGAAGTTGTTTTAATTTTAAAGCCATTTCAATTACTTACTACAGAAATTTCAGGTGAAAAATATGTAACAGCAAGCAAAATAATTCCTCTGGCACATTGTTTAAAATTGTCCTTAAATCGTTTGGATGGTTCTACTGAGTTTGGGAAAGAGCTCATCACAAATTTGGGTAATGAAGTACAGAAACGTTTCTATTCTGAGGAATCTTTTATTGAGAGAAATGAAATATTAGCAGTAGCAACTGTTATTGACCCTCGGTTTAAGAAAATACATTTTGAAAGCGCACGATCGTTATCAAATACATTAAATATTATATCAAAAATGTTTCCAACAAAAACAAGGGAGGTAGACTCTGAAGGATTTTTTAAACCAGTTTCTGATAATAGTAATGATATATGGAATATTCATGAAAATTTGGTTGTTAGTAAAGAATCTCGAATTTCAGATGTAAATAGTGGAAATGGTTTGCCAACAGAATTGAAGCAGTACTTAGACCAATCGATTATTGCTCGAAATGATGATCCAATTCAGTATTTTAAGCAGTTAAAGATAGCGTTTCCTGAATTGTATAAAATTGCAACCAAGTATTTGTCAGTTGTTGGTACATCCGTACCATGTGAGAGACTGTTTAGTAGAGCGGGAGAGATCTTAGCAGACAAACGGTCTAGACTAACAGGACCACATTTGTCAAACTTAATATTCCTGAGCAGTATTGAAGATAAGTACTGGTTTGAATAATTTACAATTATATTTTTGTTTTAAGAGATAAATTTAATTTTTATGTTTACGACTGAATATTATTGATTTTGTATTTTATTGTATTAAGTTTATTTTCATTTAAAATGTTCACAAATTTTTTATTTTTTTACTCCAATTAAAGTTTATGACAATGTTGGAACTTTTTTTAACATTTTCCACAAAACGATTTAATCGAATCGATTATTTTGATTTGTGATTAATTGAATCGATTAATGGTCTAATCAAACTTTATCGATTTATCGATTCGATGTTTTTCGGACCAAAGTCGCATCACTAGATGAGACCCAGCGGATCAAAAATTTGAGACGAGAGTGATAGGATTATGCGCTTCGTTACCCTTTTGGGTGTTTCCTAAACAAAAATCATATCCCAGCGTGTCGTATATGGATTCCCAAGATAAACCTAAGATTTTCGTTTGTTCATTTTTATTTAAATCTACCTGACTTCTTGAATTATTGCCCTCACAATTAGGCAAAATTGAATCGTCATTCGAGTGAAATTTTCTTATCTCGAACTGCCCTTGCTTTAGAATATTAATTACCTGGTCTCTTATTTGAATTAATTCAGGAATCGAGTCGGCACCTGTTAGCAGGTCGTCCATGTAAAAATTGTTTTTTATTACGCGACAGGCAGTGGGAAATTTTTCTTCGTTGATTGTTGCTAATTCCGCTAAACATCGCGTCGCTATAAAACTTGCAGACTTGGTACCATATGTTAATGTTAACAACTTATAGGTTTGTAACGGTTTATTAGGGTCGTCGCGCCATAGGATTAATTGGTAATTAGCATCTTCATCGTTAACGCGAATTTGGCGGTACATTTTTGCAATATCCGCGTTTAATGAAAATCGAAAAGTTCGGAATTGCAAGTGTAAGGGTTAGATCTGTAGTACGTGTCGTTGGCCTGTAGGTAGGCAACCCATAATTGAGGGAGAATCTGGGTAAGCCAACAGGGTGGGGGTGACGCTACGGGTGAGCAAGGGGATTTTAGGGGAGTTCGCGGGTAGGAACCACGGAGGGTAGTACGTAGAGTGCGTAGAGATAGGAGAGTTAATTAAGTGTATTAGTGATTAGGGTGTATTTATGAAGTAAATAAATAAAGTATAGTTAGCGGAATCTGAGTGTGTGATTTAAATAAAGCGTGTGTTTTTACATATCAGAAGTGGGATATTTCTTGTTTGTGTGCGCGTTGAACAGGAAAAGTGAAGTCATGCTCAACAATGTTTTGAACTAGAAGTTCGAGCAATTTGTGGCCGGACAGCGGTGGGAAGGCAACCAGAGCGGTGAGGGAAGAGGTCTTACACCCACGAGCATTGTGAGTGAAGACCAAGAATTGGGCGAGAGGGGCCCAAAGGGAAGAATCCCAGAGGACGCCGCGGCTTCCAAAATGGCCACCGAGAGGACGCCAACATGCATCAACGCCATGAGCACAGAACTTCAATATAAGAAATGATACCTACGTTGTTAACGATGGAAACAAATTTGCGCCCTCGGTGTGCAGCTGGCCAACTATACTATACGCGCGTAAATTTGAATACGCGGATCACCTACTTCCATATAGGCAACCACCTACTTCTGTATAGGCAACCACCTACTTGTGTATAGGCAACCACCTACTTGTGTATAGGCAACCACCTACTCCTGTATAGGCAACCACCTAGTTTTGCGGGTTATTTTAATGTAAATTCTCATATGAAATTACAAAAAGTATACAGAATGTAATGTAACCTATTTATTATCATACATCTAAATACATATCAAATAAACAAATCAAGAAATACAAATATTAGATACAATAATAATAAGAGAAAGATATGTAACTCACAATGTGAAGCTTCTAGGGTTATCATCCCTCCTGTCAGATTGTGTTGTAAGGAAAATGAACAACTGCGTACCTAAACAAACAATTTTGGAAATTTGAAAACAATAATAGTCCACTTACTTGACGAGATATTTCTGTCAATATCGATATGTGCCAATTCATTTAGCGTTACTCAAGGTGCACCACGAGGAGGCGAACTACAACTCTGAAGCAATTTCCTCTCAGCAAACGTTACTTTCTTCTATGGTAGAAAAGTCTGTTTCAGCAGAAAATGAGCAACTAGCTACGGATTCCACAGCAACTGAGTGTAAATTTCCGCTGCAACCACTTGACTGCTCATGGACTCTTTGGAGACATATTCCTTTGGGACCACATTAGGCAACAGTCTGTTTCGATGTAATGGATCATGAAAATCTGTCGAGTGAAAATGATTTTTACACAAGTATAAGGACTTACACGGTTTACTTGCATCAATTTTACAAATTTGTCTCCAAAGTTCCTCCATTTCCACATTTCTTGGAAAATGGTAAAATCTAAGGTCATTACCACCACCCTTGTAGAACACATTTCCGCAGTTTGGATATTTACATCGATATGCAATACGGCGTGGTTTCTCCATGTTCGAGAGATGTAAGAAATGCCTAAAATAGAACTATTGTGATAACCCAAACTTCCCGCCTTAAATTTGACCTTGAAACAGTTTGAAAGGTCCGCGAAAAATTCAAAAATTCAAAGTTTGGCCTTGGCTGTGATCGTCTAACAAATGAGAACCTACGTTGTGTGTTTTTTTTTTCTTTTTGGTTTTGAAAAATGGCGGGAAGACGTTCTTTCATACAAGTGCATACACGGTCGAGAGCGCAAGAAATAATAGACAAAATTAGGAGCCTTCCTAAGGAGGAAAAAGAAACGAAGAACGACAGACGCTCGATTTGCCCTTCTGGCGAGTCCGCAGGGCCAAGGCATCATCGGTCTTCATTCCCCAAAACCCCCTGGGGTTTTATTCACCGACATATTACATGTCAGACACCTTAAGATATTTGAAAGGAAAACACTCGCGAATTGACAGACATACACATATGAAAACCGAACAAATACAAGACCTACACATATGTAAATTGGATGGCAGAAACCGAATCATTATGAGAGTGTGGCGATCGAACAAACATAGAACAAAATATATAATCAAATATATCAATTTCATTTATGAGCACAGAAAATACCCAGAGGGGGCGTTGTAGCGCAAGTAGAGGTTGGGACTCCTGATCGTCACTGTTCTCCCTCACGACGGTGATTCTATCTACACCAACGCCTGCTCACACGCATCTCTCCATTACGAACGTGCCCTGCGAAACGAGGCGGTTACGATCGCAGATCCGTAGTGGGGTCCCGGCTATGGACAGAAGCCGACAGCGTTAAAAACCCGCGATCGCCCCCTGAAGCTATACAACACCCGCGGACTTGTGCAGGTGACGCGATTAATCCCGTCAGTTTGAGAAGGAGTCGCGCGCCCCACGTACACTACGAGTTATGTGTTATTTACCTTCAATTTCATTTTAATGTTCAATCTCTATGACTCTAATATTAAATGACAACCGAACAAGTGTTAAAGTTTCAACAAAGAGCAATACACAACATTTAAATTCGCCACACACTCTTACGAAAATTCGGTCAACAAATAATTCTTACTTGAGATTAAATTTGGACATCAGATAATTTGCAGGACAGAGACATTCATCAACAAAATATTTACATGAGCAAAACTTAGCAAAGATTTATAAAAACAAGATCTGGTGTGAAATAAGCTTGTACAAATTAAATATCAGGTTAGGTCAAAACTGCAGAGCATGGAAATTTACGTTCACTTCAAATTATACAGCAAAGAAAATTACTGAAGCTAAAATTATGAGACAAAGACAAATTGCATGAGGTGAAAGATTGTAAAGTTAACAAATTTACATGAGATTAATAATAATTCGTGTCCAGTCAAGTTAGTGGTTAAAATTCAAACGTGAAATTATTCAGCTACATTGTGGGCCATTATTACACATACATTTCCCCAAACAAAACACATAAACAAACATGGCGGACAAGCTGCAGTTGCAAAATGGCGTTGGACGAATTCGTCATTCCAAATAATAGGCGTCGAAAATATGCGATGCAAAAATGCAATGAATCCTGTGGCCTTGTATAAACGATGGGCTAAGTAAAAGGAATAAAAGGCACGTCCCCCCCATGACCCACAATGTTTGTTAATTTGTTCAATAGATTCAGTTAAAACATGTGCTCGGTTAAAAGAAAGAAAATGGACGCTTCAAAATGGCTGCTGCCTGAACAAAGAACGGTGAAAATAACAACTCGTTTGCCGCCATCCAAAATACAGATTTCACAAATATAGCTAAATAAAGCATGGCCCGAACTAAAAATCACTTCCTGTAAACCCTACTACGACGGATTTTAAATGAAAGATAAAACGAGATTAGTGGAAAAACAAAACGCACGCGTCGGTGAGTCACGAGGTCTGAAGCAACGTCGGGACTTGAAACTCGCCGCGAAACAGGTCCCGGTCGAAAACGTGTTCAAAACATACCTCTCCAAAGATGCGAAGATTTCGACACGGCTTACCGCCAAAAGGAACGCAAAAACCTCGTCGTAAGAACGATGAGAAATCAGGAACACCCAATGGCTCCACGGGGGCTGCTAGGTTTTCCAATGGAACAGATCAACACTGGAAAAACAAAACACAACAGCAAAAGGCACAGAATAATTCACAATTAAAAATACAACCTGTTGCTCGAAGCGCTCGAAAGGAAGTCGACCGTTTGTTCCAAGCGGTCAAAGCGAAGTGACTCATTTTCAAGACAATACCACCCTCGCTTTGCGCACGTCTGTTTCTTTTGGGGTGGTTGGTTGCCAACCTCTTCTTCTTACCGACCGTTTCTTGTGCGCGCGGAATTCATTTGAAATTTAAAAATTCGAATTGGATCCTTACACTATTAATAAGTATATTCCTATTCTAAATACTTACCTCAGTCCGGCTTTTTTCCCTGCACGATTTTACACTTTCATAGCAGCGGCTTTTTTAATCGCACGTATGCACACCACAAAACCAGCTGATGCCAGCTAACGGCATCGCACTCTCATTGGATGATTTGAACGTTTTCAAAGTGCGCGTTTTTCATTACTTGGTCAGCTCGACACCGAGGGCGCTGAGGCTTGCTTCCTAAATTTGTATTCGAGTGACACCCCCATGGCCATGAGTACCGCTGTACCGACAACAACTTCGGCGCATGCGTCCCAACCCGTTACCTCCAACATGACCAACTTGTTCCAGCAAAGTGTCCCAGGCTCGTACGGCACAGGTGTGACTGAGCCGGAGCCAATAGGGGGCCAGCTTGGGAATGGACGCGACAGGAATGGCAGCTTTGGCGTTTTAGGTTATGGGGGCCTCGTTGACACTCCTTGGGAAAATCCGCCGCGAACGAGTAGGTACATAAACGATCAGCCAGTCCCGCAAAACCCTTCAGATATCCAGTCGACAGGATTAATGCAGTATATCCTTGAGCAAAACCGGAAGTTGATGGATCTAGTCGAGCGCAACACAGCTGCTGGAGAGCAGGGCAGCACCAGAGGAAGTAGTGGTGGGCTGCCGAACTACCAGGTCATGCCGGATTTTTCTAAGTCAGTGGAAAAATTCGACGGGGAAGACTTGAGTCGTAGTGGTCCTTGGCTGGAGAACATAAGTGCAACGGCGAGGCTGCACCATTGGCCGTCGGAATTCACGTTCGAAACTGCGCGAACACAGCTGGTTGGCCCCGCTCGTCTATGGTACGAGTCGAAACGAGAAAGGATACGGAGTTGGGAGGAGTTTGAAGGGGCCTTCAGGAGGACATTTGTAAGGGAGCATAGCCAAACCCAGTTGTGGAAAGCGTTGTCAAGTCGGGTACAGAGTGCACAAGAGAGCACAAATCTTTATTTTCACGACAAGGTCAGGTTGTGTTCAGCCCTGAAATTGTCATTTACGGAGACAAAGGAGCAGCTAGCGGTGGGCCTGCTTTCAAAAGAATTGGCGACAATGTTGATGTCAAAGACCCACACAGATGAGGATGACCTCTTTGGAGACATCATTGTGTATGAGAGGTTAGTGGCGGAAAGACGGGCCAGACATAAAGTAGACAGATTCGTACCACCAAAACCTTCTACCCCATCAACGATGTTGTCCCCCATCAAAACGGAGAAGAGATGGTTGCCGGGACGTGATAACGCGGGCCGGCCTCTCTGTTTTAGATGCCGGGAGTATGGCCACATTGCGGCAGCATGTCAGAGTAAGAGGCACCCTGAAACCTGTGAGAGTAGACCTGAGCAAACAAGAGCCACCGAGCCGAAAAAGCGGGTTCACAGGGTTGAAAAAAGCCTGACAAGTCGAGATACAGTGGCCCGAACCTTTCTAATCAACGATAGAGACTTTGTGACGGGATTGGTGGATACCGGGAGTGCGGTGTGTACAGTTAAACGAAGTGTGACCGAGAAGTGCGGATTAAAACCTGCGAAGTTCCGACAAAATCTATACGCGTTTGGCAGTGTTACGACGCCAGCTCTGACGGTTGAGGGTAAAGTAAAAGTGCGTCTAGCTGTGGATGAAGTTACGGTCAATGACATCGAGTTACTAGTGGTGCCGAACGATTCACAGGACTATGATTTATTAGTGGGGCGACCGTTTACTGAGAGAAAAGAAATCGCGTACATGAGAAAGGGTGATTGGATCGCGTTTGGATACTCATGTGAAGCACCCTTCAAGAACATCGACGTAGAAGCCTTGGTGCGAGAACCAGGACTGGAAACTTACGAATTGGCCAAGGGAGTGACAGTGGCGCCTCACGAGTCGAAAATGGTACCAGTGAAAAAGAGAGCAAACAACTACCTGTTGAGAGTTTACAACCTGACCTCCGAGGAATTCGAAAAACAGTCAGGTGAGGCCATAAACGAGGACGAAGTAGTCGGTGATGTTAATGCGTTCGTCCCGTGCACTCGAATTACTGCCTCCATGGTAAAAATGGGCGAAGGCATGGCGGAAACTACGCAACGAAAATTACTGGAGCGACAGAATGAGATTGGGCAGAATATAGAAGAGGACAACCAGCACAGAGATCAACATATGGAAGAGACTGAGCTGCAGAATGAGGTTGAGCTGAATATAGAAGAGGGCAACCAGCAGGTCGATCAACAATTTGATGAGACGGTTGAGATACATCAGGAAACAATAGGGGAGGTCGATCAGTTGATGAAAAACGTCAGTCAGCAAATGGGAAAGGACAATTCGAGAAGAATGCGAGTCGAGGATTGTGTGTTGAGTAAAATGGAAACGACATGGAGAACAGTGGTGTCGGAATTACCGGGCTTGTTTCGACGAGTTAAGTTCAATATGCTCTGTAAAGAAAGAAGCATGAGGATAGTTTACACTTCAACCACGAGGAAACAGATGGGGAAGAAGACGAAGAAGAAGAGAGTGAAAGTGCGGGAGTGCTGGAAAGAGCAGAGTATACGAGTGAGAAAAGTGACGAAAGTGAAACAATACAAGAGAGTGGGCCAGTTGAATAAAGCAAGGCAAAGCCGTTGTGGAGCCCAATTGTTGTTCTACTTGACTTTTGAGT